TCAAATTTATTGTTAATGGATCTCCTTTGATATGACGTTTATGTTTCTTGTGCATTATTTCATTTTATGTTATAAGATTCAATTAATAAATCCTAAAAAATCCACGAAAGAAATTCATATATAATTGAGAATCTTTTAAAATCTTTTGAAATTTGTCACATAAAAAAAGTCTATTAAAATTCCGTGAAATCCAAATTGACTACACCCCTTAATTGATTTGTAGAGATTTTAGTAAAAATTTGATTCAATTTCCTCGAAATCTCATGGGGAGAGGTGAAATTTGTAGATGCTAAAAATACACTACGAAATCTCTCCAATTCCCTCTAATTCCTTAACTTTTTCAAATTCTTTAAAATCAAATTCTAATTGAATACACCTAAAATGTTATAAACTTCTTTAAAATTTTAATTGAATACACCCAAATTTTTAAGGATTTTAATAAATTATATTAAAATCCTGATTGAATACATATTGAATTTTAGAGAATCACTTAAAATCTTAATTGAATACCCTTAAATTCATTAAAAGAATTAAAATCCCTCAAAATCCCAACTGAATACACCCCAAGTCTCACTCGTTCAGACTAAATGCTTCATTGGGAGATCTTAGTGAGACCTCCCGAAAAATGGCGGACTAACTATGACCGCTCATCCTCATCTGTTGTCTGCTTCGCACCTCCTCTGAAACTAACATGCTTCTCTCAAAGATGCCCAAAAAACCAACCTAACACCAACCTGCATGAATCTAATCTCAAATATGCCAGCAGCATCGGAAATGCTTTAATCGACCAAAGTACCTCAAAAATCCCAAAAAACCAACAAATTTTCACCATCGATTACCTCATAAATTCCTACAGGTTGTCCCCAGAAGCTTCGATTTCAACATCCAAAATGCTCGAATTAATTGCAAAAACCCAGTTCAAACCAAGATCAACCAAGTTGCCCAAATCAACATCATTGTCCAAATCAACCTCAGCACCAACTCCGAAACAAGGTCCTTGGGAGAGAGAGAGAGTGAGAGAGAGAGAGAGAGAGAGAGAGAGAGAGAGGTGGATGGAGTGCTTGTAGTTGTATCATTGAAAAAGAAGACCAGAGGATAATGGAATGGAATAAAAAATGGCAAAAGTGGATTAAAATAAGAAGGACTAGATGATACTAGAATGAAATAAAAAAAATTGCAATAGTGGATTAAAAATTGTAAAAGTGAATAAAAAATAGCAAAATATTTTAGTCCAGACTTTAGTCAGGACACTTGTTTGGGCCCAAAATATTATGATTGGGCCGAGCAGCAAGATGTGCTCGGCCCAAGGTAATGACACATGCTATGGGCCAAATAATGAAACCCGGACCAGCTGGCAGGGTCGGTCAGATCCTATCTTAAGTAGTCCAGATGAATGAGGAAAGGTCGAGGGAATCCTGGTGCGACCAGGATTCTCGACCGGCAAGGGATAAAGCTTCAAAAGGAGAATTCAGAATCCCAGTAGGACTAGGATTGTTCGAGTTAAAAGTGAGATGGGACAAGGACTCCCAATCCAAATCAGAATGGGATTCAAGGAGCGAGGTGCTATAAATACAAGAAATTACGCAATAGAAAAGGCCCTCAGAATCAGCATACAATTGCCCTGCGCAAAACCTCTCAAACACCTTGAGATTTTTCCTTTTCTTTTCCTGCCGACACACCTTCAGTTTGGATAAACAGCACTGTGGAAGCAACCGGTGAACACCTTCAGTTTGGATAAACAGCACTGCGTCGAGGTCGACCGATTATCTATCTAAGTCTCGGCCGAGAAGGGTTTTCGAACCTTTGTTGGTAGAGGTCATCTAACTAAGCCTTTTCGGCGTAGTTGGGTGTTACGAGTTGCATTGATCGGCGTATTGGACGCCGAGTGAGTTTATGATTGGATACTCGCAAGTAAGTTTCAGGGTTCGGCATTCCGACGGCCGAACTACGTTTACCATCAAGACATACATCACATTCGAGTACCTGTGCCCATATAGTTTGGTCTCGATTCGGCGTGCTTATACTCTTACGAATATAATCACAGTGACCGAATCAGGGTCCGACGACCTGTGAACTCCGTAGAATTAGTAACCTTGTCTTCAGGCTATAGAACCCAGAGACCGAGAGCGTTCCTTCCTCGGTCGCAATCGCAAGATACAAAAGTCGACAGCGCACCCAACGCGACATCACATTTTACTCCTCGGCCGAGCTCGGCCGACGAGTTGGCACGCCCCGCATTCAACCGAAGGACGTAGTTAGCTCATTAGTTACTCAGCCTGCGCGCCACGTAGGTTTTGTAATTTTTGTGGCCAACAACACTATACCAAACACTTCACTAATCTTAGCTTGCTTAGTCCAAGCGAAGCAGTCCAACTTAGTCTCTAAAGTTAGTCCAGTTCAAGATAGTTTGGTGCAATAAACGCACCTTTACTGTCCAAGTGCATATCCATCCCTAAATTGAATATCCCAGACAATTTGTATTAAAATATTAGTATTTTTTTTATTTTATAAAATAATAAAAGATAACTTTATTTTAATTTTGGATAATAATAAAAGATTAGTTGAAAGTATTGAAAATATCGAAAAGTAATGTCAAGTGGAAGAACATGGTATTTATAGAATAAAATTATAATTTTTGAAATAATTTAAATTTGTGTTTGACGTCACGATGACGTTAGCCTTGCGTCACATAGCCCAGGAGTTAGACTAGTAGATTTGTCTGACTTCTCCATCGAGCTCGCCTTGAGCCCAATTGCCCGAGTGGGCTGGAGTGTTTTGGGGAAGCAACCCTGCGGGAAGTGGGGAAACGAGGGAGTGGATTGAGTTACCTATCCCCAAGGCAACGGTGGAGTTGCTCTCAATGGAAGTTGGAGAAAAGAAAATATGTTGAGTGAGATCATAGTTATGTCATATGATTACACAAGATATAATATTTGATTGTCAACCTTGCATAACCCCAATTAATCAATCTTTAGAATCAGCTAGCGGGGGTTTACGGCTGGTCGATCGCTCATGGCTAGTTAATCGTAATGCCAAACGTCAACTTCTTACAAGATGCTTGTATTTGAAGTTCTAGGTTCGATTTTTCCTTCTTTTAGTATCTGTATGTACTGAATGTCTCTATATATACATTAAATGTCAACCGTTCATAAACTAAACTGTATTAAACTAATTAAACCAATGAAGGACAACTTTGTCTTGTAATAAGTCATTAAACTAACAAAAAGAAGTTTTGATGAATGTTTGTGACAAAACATAAAGTATATATATAATTAAAGGTCAAGAACACACACAATTAATTAGCTGAATTAAATTATGGTCTAAGTTTGGCCTCATAAAAATCTAGTTGACTCTCACCAAAAGAAAAGAAAAAACGTGTTTTTTTTTTGTCAAACAATAGATTTGTTAGATTAGGAACCGACGATGTTCAAATTCACGGCGTGATGCAAGAACAACATTTTTCTCCACCACTATATTTGAAGGTCGCATACAAAAAAAAAAAAAAACTAGGTGACCTTATGCCTTTGGCTGAGTAGTTCAAGGGACACAAATTTGTTCACGATTTGTCAGTCTTGAATCTTGATTACTCACAACTATTTTATAAACAAAATTTTACAAACTCAATTTACGATATACTATAATTTTTGACATCAGCGTTGACCAAATAAAAAAAAGTTTTACATCACTAATTGTTCTCAAAATGTTTAATCTTGATGGGACTACAATTAATGAAGCGGAGGCGAGGGCTTTAAAAGAGGGTCCGGTTTATGCAAAAGCGAAAGGCTTCAAGAAAATCATGGTGGAACGTGACTCTCGTCTTATTATTTAGGCCGCCCAAGGCTATTGCGAGTTTCGGTAAAATCTCATTTCTATAATTGAAGATTTCCTATGGTTGGCATTGAACTTTACCGACATTTGGTGGAAGCACATTTTTAGAGGGACAAACTTTGTGACATATGCTTTTGCTCATCAGGGTCTTCTCATTCAACATATTCATTTGTGACAGATTTTTGTGTCCTTTTTTTTTTGGCTAGAGCAGCCTTTGATGTAGACAATATGGGAGTTTTGCATTCGCGGTTTCTCTCTTTAATGAAGTTTTCTTTTATTAAAAAAAAAAAAGGGTGGATGTCAAAGAAACAAACAGTGCCAAAGATTAATCCAATCTCCTATCCTTTCGTAAAGTTTTTTTCAAAATTTTCAGAATTTAAAATCCACCAAAACACAACTCAAGCTTAGCTACCTAAGCATAATATGGTGATTAAACTTCACAATAATCAAGTTTCTTTTTTTTTCTTTTGAACAAATGATATTAGTGTAAAATTTTCAGAATTTTAAATCCGCGAAAACATAACTCAAGCTTAGTTACCTAACTATAATATGGTGATTAAACTTCACAATGATCAAGTTTGATTAAATTATGGTTTGAGTTTGGCTTCATAAAAAACTAGTTGACTCTCATCAAAAGAAAAGAAAAAACTTGTTTTTATTTTGTCAAACAATAGATTTGTTAGATTAGAAACCGAGGAGATTCGAATCCACGACGTGGTGCAAGGTAACATTTTTCTCCACCACTATGGTAGAGGGCCACTTACAAAAAAAAAAAAAAAAAAAAAAACTAGTTGACCTTATGTTTTTGGCTGAGTAGTTGAAGGGACACGATTTGCCAGTCTTGAATCCTGTTTACTCACAACTATTTTATAAACAAAATTTTACAAACTCAATTTACGATATACTAAAATGTTTTACGTCAGTGTTGCCCAAATAAAAAATTTTACATCCTTTTCAGTCCTTTAAATTGGCCCAAGTCATGGACGCAAGGTCATCACAAATTGTCAAACGGGTGCCCAAAGAAATGTAAAATCACTATATTGACCTCCATTTTCTCACCAACCAAACGCTGCCCACAACCCAAGAGGCTCTCCAAGCCACTCAATTACACACCCATAAATTTCAATTTCTCAATTTAAACCCAAATACCTCCCTTTCAAATACCCAATGCACTCAAATCCTGCCCCATGCCACTACTACTACTACCCAGAACATTCCTCTTCCTGTACCCAAAACTCAAAATCCCCAAAAGACCCATGGCCACAATGGGCACCACCACCGCCCAACCACCCAGGGCGCGCCTCAGAGGCGTCGTCTTCGACATGGACGGAACCCTAACGGTCCCCGTCATCGATTTCGCCGCAATGTACAGAGCCGTGCTCGGCGAAGACGAGTACGTCAGAATCAAGGCTGAGAACCCTGCCGGGATCGATATATTGCACCACATTGAGAATTGGAGCCCCGAGAAGCAGCGGAAGGCGTATGATATTATCGCCGATTTTGAGCGCCAGGGGAGCGATCGCCTTCAGATCATGCCTGGTGAGAAAATTTTCCAACTTTGGTTTTGGATATTCTGTTTGGTTCCCGGGAAAATGTTGGATTAGGAATATTGTAATGTAGCAGTAGCACACACTATCTTCAATTACTTTACTTTATTGTGCTAATTGCATAGCTGCCATTTAATTTCTTTTCCCAAAGTACGTAAAATTTTACTGTTTACAAGTGAGATATATAAAACGAATGATGATTGGGATTTTAGTCTATGATTTTCGTTAAATGCTACTGGGATTATGTTGCGTTCTTAATTCGTTATCTCGTGCTAGTTTTCGTTTGATAAATGATTAATGAGTAATGATTGTGTGATATTATCTACTTGTAGATGTAACATAACAAGAAATGTGAAAACTTGTTACTGTTGGAACAATGTAACACATTTTCTTTGAATATTGAAAGTTGTTTAATTGAAAACTAAAAGCGATATTCGTGAAGCAAGAGGATGCTATTTGCTTCCCACCCGTTGCTTTTTCTCCGAAGTGAGATTTGGGGTGCTTAATGTACTATTAATGTGGGAATTTAATTTATACTTTGCTATTCATACGAACTTAATCAGATTTCAGAGTGCTTTGTTCTTTTTCCCGTCATCACTTGACAGATCCGATAACTGATGTTCATTAAAATCTGGATTAATTGCGGTGCAGGTGCAGCAGAACTTTGTGGTTTTCTAGATTCTAAGAATATAAGGTCATGCTCAACTTAAGCCTTTATCTTCTCTGATAGTCGTTCATTTTTTGTTGTATGTATAACTAATGGCGGCATGCTTATATGCATGTCTCCTTCAGGGGCTTTCAAGTGTGGCTTATCTTTTATATATGCATGTTACCGAAGTTCATAATCTTATTTTGCTTGCAAGATTTTGATTTTTTCTTACCTACTTCGTGTCATAAGTTTTTCGACCAATGAAGACAGGAATGATGGCGATATTCTTATTGTTTTTATTTGGATTATTTACAGGAGGGGATTAATCACACGTAATGTCAAGGCTGCAGTAGATTTGTTTCGTGATCGGTTCAGTGTAAGTATATTGAAGTACACAAGTTGGTATAAAAAAAATTTCTTATAGCATAAAGCTATTCTTCCATTTCTGTTCCGTATTACTGTTTCTCTTGTCTTAAGAACAAATTACAGTTTCTTGGATGAGCCTTACTCTGATCTGGCTACTAGCTGAAGTTAGTCAACTCCTATGCGCTCATGAAAAGCTTCCTTGGACTTCAAATCAGCACAATTCCTCACCTCTCCACGTTTGATTCTCTCTAAAACTCCAAAAATGCCATATTGTTTTACTTCAAATGGATCCTGACATACAATTAACCGCACACTAACACTAAATAGGGTATAATGCAACCAGTTTAACTCCAAAACATGACAAAGAGACTAGAAAGGGATGGTCTAAATGTATGAAATATATGAGTTATCACTTGAGGAGAACCCCTAACTTTATGTAATGTACGTTTGGGATTCATCTCATTTCTTATCGTTCTTTCTACTTTGTAGTGGACTCTGATATCTTATTTTCTGTGTCATTACTGCAGTTGTCATTTTCTCCAGCGTTGAGCAGGGAATTTCGACCTTACAAACCGGATCCATCTCCACTACTGCATATATGTTCAGCTTGGGAAGTTAAACCAAGTGAAGTAATGATGGTTGGAGACTCCCTCAAAGATGATGTGAGCCTTTGGGTTTTTGTTAGTTCTTTTTGAAGTATTTTGTTCTGTGACCAGTTCCTTGTATTTGATAGGATGACCAAGCAACATATGGACCTTAGGTAGACTTATTGATGTTCCAAAAGAAGAATGATGATTAGATAAATAAGGAAGCTGGATTTCTGCTTTGTGCTACAGTTCTGAGTTTTTGTCAAATCTTGCTTCCCTAAGATGTTGGAGATGCTTACAAACAATTGCCTGACGTTGCAGGTGGCTTGTGGGAAGCGAGCAGGAGCTGTTGCGTGCTTGCTCGATGAAAATGGAAGGTATGACTCTCCAGAATATGCCAATGTCGAATTCAAACCAGATTTCAAGGTGACTTCCCTAAGGGAAGTTCACACGCTATTGGAAGCACATTTTGACCTGTTACCCTGATCCTCAAACCGATTGTGGACAATCTTCACATTTCACGGTATTTGTTGGTGTGCTTGTTTAATAATTTGTTCTTTGCTTCTGGAGAGGAATACACGCAGAGAAACTGCAACCGAAAGATGAAGAGGAACGAATTTGTAGAAAACCGTTGTTTGGCGGGAGAGAAGACTCATTAGTCAACTTGTATCAGACTTAAAATCTAACCGTTTTTAGGGATTAAAATCTAGTTTTCTATATTATAATTGTACTCTACTTACTGGCCTGGTAAAAGCTCATTACAAGCATCAGACTTGGAAAATACTTTGGGTGAGATTGATCAAATGCCCACTGTATGTAGGCGTTAGTGCAATGGATTTTAAAGCCAATTCGTCTGAAAATATTATCCGGTCGAGGTTCCACAAGTAGTACTTCCTGACATTGTATTTAAAATAGTTGTCCGAATTCCTTATGATCTGCAGTTGAAACAAGTTCTCGCTAATGGTCAAAAAGCAAATGTATTTGAAGCAGTTGTTCGAATTCCTCATGATCTGCGGCTGAAAAAGGTTCTTGCTAGTGGTGAAAAGCAAAGACAAACAAACACCGAATGCTTATTTCTAAAAAAGTAAAGAAAATCAACAGATAAAAACAAATGGGGTGTGTAAAGAAAAAAAAGGTGTGTACAAATTAAAAAAAGAAAAGAAAAAAGAAAACAATAGATCGCCCACCGTGGGGCTCGAACCCACGACCACAAGGTTAAGAGCCTTGCGCTCTACCAACTGAGCTAGACGGGCTTGCTGCTTGAGCCCTTCCAGCTAGCTAATTATTCGGTAAAATGAGACGGTCTGGTTGCTAAAACCCTTGGTTGAATCTGGCGCCAAAACGTAACGGATTACCTGTTGACTGATTGACTCTGAAATCTCGATGAGTGTTGCGGTTGTTAATCCGTTGCAAATTCCTTCTCCCTTTTTACAAAAACCAACCACACTCCCTCCGTTTTCCCAATCAAAACTCCCCAAAATTCCAAACAGCTTCCAAGAAACCAAAGAATCCCTCAAATCCCAAAACCCAACTCCTCCGCGGGCCACCATGAACCACCACCACCAGGTTCCATCCAACCACCCAGAACAAGACTCTTCTCTGCCTGCATCTTCTTCTGGCTACCGCAGGATCTCCCTCCCTCTTCTCCGCCGCTGCATCTCCGACCCCTACAACCCTCCGTCTGCGACCACCCCCAACGATGCATTTGAGCATTCTCTCTCTGCTTCTCGCTGTGGCAGTTCTTTGTGCAACATGACTCCGTCCTACTCTCCTGACCGACTCCACTTCCCCAGGACTCCGTCCCATTCCCCGGCAGCGGTCCTGCCTCCTCTTCCTCCACCCCAGACTCTCCGGCGCTCCGTCTCGGATCTCAACCCCTCTCCGGCCAAGACCTCCACCCGCTCCTCCAGCTCCTCCCAAGATTTCCACTTCTCCACCGACATTGACACCCCCAATTCTAAGGTAACGACATATTCTTTAATTAATTTATTCTTTAATCTTTATAAAAGCTCAGTTCTTTCTCTCGCTTTGGATTGCTGATGAAATGAATTTTTGATTTTATGCTTTAATCTGCGAAAAGCTGAATTCTTTATCTGTTTTTGGATTGTTGATGAAATAGGGTTTTGCGGAAATTGTTGATTTTTCCTTTAATCTTCGAAAGTTTGATTCCTTTCTTCTGTTTCGATTGTTTTTGAAATCGGTTTTTGGGGAAAATGATTGCAGAGGCTGCAGAGGATGAAGGGCCGCTTGAGAGAGATGAGCCTGTGGTGCCAGCAACTGATGCGGGAAGAAGACTTAATGGAAGAAGATGAAGATCACGAGGAGCAAGCGGCCGAAGAAGAAGAAGAAGAAGCGGAAGAAGAACAAGTGCAAACTGTTGATGCTACTGATCAAGATTTTCATGACAATGCTACTGCTACTGCTGAGGTATTGGGTCTGAAACTGATATGATTTTTTAACTAATCAATCATAGATAGTAAGATTTGGTATTTTGATTTCTTCGAACAAACAAGATCAGAAAGAAAATATGGCCATTCTATTGTCTTGGGTCTGAATAATCTAACACTAATAGCTAAACAATTTGATTTCTTTTCCATGTTTCATGTATTTTCTTAATTAACCAGTCAAAGCAAGTATGATTTGGTATTTTTCTGATTAAAATGTCAATTAATTTTGATGCATAAAGAATTTACAGGATGACGGGGGGAAAGAATTTGCAGAGTCTGTGAGTGTGGAGAAGAAGGATGACTGCTTGGTAATTCACTTCAGGTGTCACTGTGACAAAGCCTATCAGTTCCTTCTCAGTGGAGGCGACTGCTACTACAAGCTCATGTAGATATCCATCCCAGTTATCCAACCCACTGGATGAACTGAGCACTCTTCATTCTTGGGTTCGGCTTTTTCATACACATAGGTTAAATTCTTTTCGATACTCAACTCAGTCACCATGACCTCATTCTTAGGTTGTTTAAAATCTTCGTCTTAGATCGTACCCTTTTCATAGATTCTTTTTGGATGAAGTGCTCAGTGCCTTGATTGGTGTCAGTTTAACAAATCATCTGGTTTAGCTGGATTGCCAATCAATTGGGTGAACCCTTGTTTTTCCTTTTTCTTCTCCTTTTCACTGTGATGAAGTAGAAAGGTGGAATAATGCATTAATTGCAAAGGCGAAAAAATATATGGAATGTACTTTGTTGCAATTCTTGTTTGGAAGCAAATGAATTTTTTTTCCTAATTCTCGTGTGAATGAATACATGATCCTTATTCTTCTGATGTCATGAAATTTCGCATGTCAGTAACATTTTCCTGCTGATTTCAGTCATTTTGCATCTCCCAATCCTTCAACCGCATCTGGTCATTGGATTGTTTAGAATTCTGCATGCTTACTAAGATCATCATAGGTGCTTTTTTGTTGAGCTCACAAGCATATAACCTCCACACTTCAATTGAATTGTATCGTTGCAAGTTGAATGAAATCGCGAGGAAGACAAGTTCTTGCTTGTTTTCTGTGAGTTGAAGTTGTCAATTGGAATTTTTTGTTGTGTATTTGAGCTTTTATGCTCATATTTTATCAAATGTGGTGGAAAAAAAGGTTCCAAGTGGTCATTAGCCACTTCTTACTTTTTAGCTGTCTTTTTTTACAACAAACAAAGAAGGAGTCAAATATTTTTAATTTAATTTTGTAATTCATGAGTCGCATTAACAACCAATAAAATAAAAACTAAAATTAATTTTGATTATTTTTTAATAGTTAATGTAACTTTGGGTCCAATAAAATAATAAAATACATATTTGACACATTTATTGAAAAAGAAGAGGATTTAGCACTTGTATTCAATTTGCCACATTAGCCATCAAATAAAATTTTGACATATTATTTATGATATTTCATTTGGAGATTCTCTCAACTAACCTTAATGAGCTGCTAGATGTTCTTGAGTCTTCATTCCTTCAACAAAGGATTGACAAAATAGGTAAGCGGGTGGTGCTATCCACACACCCATTTTTGCCTCTCATGTAACATCCCACATCGTCCAGGGAGTGGATCATGCAAGCCTTATATGTATATTCTCATCTCTACCTAGCATGAGGCTTTTTGGGAGCCCACTGGCTTCGGAGTTCATCAGAACTCCGAAGTTAAGCGAGTTCGCGCGAGAGCAATCCTAGGATGGGCGACCCACTAGGAAGTTCTCGTGTGAGTTCTCAGAAACAAAACCGTGAGGGCATGGTCGGGGCCCAAAGCGGACAATATCATGCTACGGTGGGGGCTCGAGCCAGGATGTGACATCTCACGTACTCATTTTGATTTTCGATTGTCGGATCAAATGAATTATAAAAAATCAAAGGACAAAAATTAACAGAGGTGTGAGAAAGGTTAAAAATAAATGTATGGATAACACTACCCGTTATTTATTCAAATCTTGTCACTTCCTCTCCATATTTTTGTTTGTTAATAGTTAGGTGAGGTTCTCATGGGAGTGAGGCAGAGCCTCAAACCCGCGATAGAAGGGCCACAAGGGTGCTTGATTTTCACTATGACACTGGCCCTCCTCCACTTCCTCTTCACATTAGGATGACATGGAATTCAAGGGATTTTATTTGATCGTTAGATTATTGGTCAATAATAATAATAATAATAATAATTAACAGAGATGTGCTATTCACAAATTCTTTTTACTTCTCACACATACCTTACTAATTTATGTCATTTGATATTTTAATTTAGTTGATCTAATGGTTGCAAATTAAGTAAATCTGTAAAAAATAAAAAAGAACGTAAATATCACACCGCACAAAATATTTAACGGACAAAAATTCAATACACCAAAGCATAACAGATGCACATGCCTTTTCTTGTTATGAATTTGGATTTGCCTTATTGCAAATCTCGACTAACAGAATGCTAGAAGCCAATTTTGGTGTCTAAGGCTTCACCAAAAATACAAGCAGACCAAAAAGTCCCTAAAACAAAAAAAAATTAAAACTAATTGGCCAGAATCGAACCTAAGACCTCTCAATTACAAATAAAGCAGGATAATATTAAGTGGCTGGAGCTCTACTAGTTGAAGCAAGAGGCTATATCTGTCATTTTAGTTGAAGCAAAAGAGCATTGGTGTGGGTTTTCTTTCTCCTCTACGCTTGCTTAGGGACTCGTCCGTCACCTGCAATTAGTAATAAATCATATTCGGATTGGAGCAGCCTTAATTTATATTTATATTTATTTATAATCAAATTATCAAATGTGGACTACGCACAACAAAATTTGATGACAACGCAATTTAATAATTAAATTCAATGAACAAAATTGAAATCGAGTTATAATTCAGAGACCATTGTTATAATTAACGTCTTCCTCTTATACAACTGATTTTACAAAAGTGTGAATCGAACACAGACCTTTGGCTGCAGGGTGAACGGGAACAACATTATTTACATGGTTAGCTTTAATTTATTAAAAACTCAATCTATGACTTCTGTACAGTGAATACAGGACCAGCATTCAAAGAGGGTAAATTCCAACAATTACCCTGACTATCAATACAGCAGCTATACCATTTAACCCTATAAGTACCCACTGGAAAAGCAGAAACATCAAGCAAGCAACTTGAAAACCCTTGCCCTCTTTCGTTCAGTTCAAAACGTGCGAACGAACTCACACACTCGCCATCATTTTTACCCCTTCGACGCTTATTACTCTTTTTTGTACTGCACTCTGTTACATACTGTAACAGCTTCTCGTTCATTTCTACAATGTCATCAGCTTCCCAAGCCTGTTTTTGCTCCTTGTTTTCTCCACCTTCTCTTGGCTCCTGAAAGGATGCTCCACTGTAGACTATGCAGTACAAATTTTTCAACTGGACTCGGATGTCTGGTGGCACATTTCTTAACTGAAGGCACAAATTTAATGATAAGTTGAAGCCTGAGGATACATATATTGCATCTGGGTTTCTCGTTTCACTGACAGCGAAGAGTTCTGACCCCAGGCAAGGCCTGAAATTTATGTCAACGGAAAAAATTAGAATGGGGTTGAAAACAGAAAAGCAAAACTTTTATATAACTAAACTTAAAACATCATATCAAAGCGATTAACCAATCCAAGACTAAAACCCTATAGTAAAAAGCTCTACATGGTGATTTTAATCCTAAATAATCAACCATGTCAATATATGATATGAAAGCTTCATAGAATTGAGTAAAAGTAAGATTTTCTCGATGCATCTATTCTTAGAACAAAATGGAGAAATCAACAAAACAAAAGGATTGTTTGAGTTAGATATATATCATACCTAAATTTAAAGAAGTACTTGGGAGTCCGGAAGGGGATTTGCATCCATTTCATTAGGATGCTATACAGAAGTTGTAAGCCATCCTTGGTTGCTTGGGAGAGACCTTCCACATTGTGCACTCCGTTTGCCTTACTTTTCAAGCCAAAAATCCCCAAAACCACAGAACTACAAACACTGTGAATATCTTTCGCTACAGAACCAACCTTAGATGCTTGGATTCTGGACTGCAAGTGAAAACAATCAATGGGCTTGCCACCCGGATTCAAAAGCAGACAAAGAGTTGCACTGATTTCATGGTTACTGGCCCCCAAACGCCCAATTAGATTTCGTATCAACATTGAGTCTAAGTTGTTCTCTGTTGTTCCCAGACTGAAAATAGAAACAGATTCGATTAGGCTTGGAATGTAAAGAGAAAAACCAGTACAAAAGGCCAACAGTGAACAAGATAGTGCGAGTTCCGAAATGATTCCTGAACTTTTTCTGTCCATGTCAATGAAAGATTTTGTTACTAGATCAAATTCTTGTGATAGCCTCTTCAACTGCACAGATATTTGAATACACTTCTTCAAGGATACGAGGTATCCAACCTGTTCATTATTGGTAATGCTATGCTGGTCAAATTGAATGTTTTCAAGAACTTTAACTATATCCACCACAGCTCCTAGCACCTTTGCTCTTAAAGACAAAAACGACCTTTGGAAATAAAAAGTTTGGCCCAATTTGAAATCACCATTTAATGTTGCCAAAGAAGAACAAAGACCATCGTAAACTGCTGTGAGCTCCCTACTGTTAATATGCTCCCTGATATTACTAGCTGAATCTTGGCTGATTTCACCTAAATCATTACTAGAAAGTATAAGATCAAATTTATTCGTCTCTAAACCTTGTTTTGTCAACAGCAGAGACTTGAGTCTCCTCTCAGAATCAGAAAATTGAACTAATGATCTCATCCAGCAGCAGCAGGAAATAGAATGAACCTTTGGTACTAATTGCTTGAATGTAAAAGTGGCAGTGAGCCAGGCTCCCTGACATGCTGCATAAATCCCGACTCTGTAAGCAGGCCACTTGTTGTTCTCTGTCAGCATCCTCTTCGCACATTCAATTGTACAAAATTCATGCTCCATTAAGTGAGATACGCCCGAGTTCTTATCAAGATTGCAACTTCCCTCACTCCCATGCGCCAAGTTAACCCAAATGATTCGACAATGTAACAACAAAGAGTAGAGAGTGTATGTATAACATTCAAACAAGTTGCTCTGACTTACAAGTTCGACCAGAAGCTTCACTTTGTCAAATACTTCGGTGGAGATGGCACCAGCTTCACTGAGATTTTCAAGAAAGGCCACCAAAAATCTGTAGACAATAAATAAAAGCTTTGATCTGATAGTTCTGCTTTTTTCTCCTTTCAAGTCTACATTATCACGAATAGATGCATCTGCTTCTGTTGTAATGACTAGATTGTCATGCATATATGAGAGAGACTTGACCAAAACATATATTTGATCCAGCACTAAGACATGCAGATCCGGATATTCTCGAATTAGACGGAAAAGAAGATTGAGCAGGCAATTAATTTGTTGAAACACTGGAGACTCAGTCCAACAAAGATCCAAAACTGGCTTAACCATCAAGGTGATTCGATCAATGATAAGTGAGATCACACGAGATGGCAGAAGAGAGGAACAAGGTGCAAGAGACCCCATCTCTGTACTTCCTTTTAGTTTCGTTGGCACATCTACCAAAACAGAAATAGCTAACAGGCCCTCAGACGTGATTGGAGATGAAGTTGCATTCTCAGCAACGCTTAACAGCTTAGAAGATTCAAATACATCAAGGGGTAGACCTGCTAGCTTACATGAAATAATCTGCAGAATGCGTATGTGAGACAATATAAATTGCAAAAACGTTAATAAAAAGTTAATCAGTCGGACTGCGAAACAACCTTGCGTAATGTCTGCAGTGCATCACACAGCATGAGTGACGGAACTTGAGGTTCATCTAGTATGTTAAGTAATGCTCTCACAAGATATGCATTTACAGGAAAATGACACATTCCTTGACTGTATATATAATGCAGGCTTCTTACTGCCATTGCACGCATCTGAAGAGGTTTTTCTTGGCTAAGAAACAAGAGAAGCAAATCCATCTGCATTCAGATGCCAATAAGTATTGCGGATCAAGAAATCTGACACCATATGCTACCAAAAACAATTACCTGCTGAGATATAAGAATGGTTGACCTGGAAGACAGTTTGGTGAGAGAAACAAGCATTGCAACCTGGCAACCCTCATCTGCGGACTCAATCAGAAGCTTTAGGCATGTCTGGAATAAAGCAATGTTAGGCGAATCTTTTTCATAAGCAAATAACTAAAACTCTAAAAGAACAATTTCCAATTAAATTCAGGCCAAAAATAACATAGCAAAAGAACCTTGTAAGCATTATTCACAAGGGGATGTGAGCACCGAAGTTTGGCAAATACTCGTGCTCCAGCCAACCTTATAGCAGGTGACGTTTCTGGTGAAGTCATCATATGAGGCAGCATCTCCAAGACAACACATGCAAAGTCCTCTGATAACTCGGCAAAACATCCTGCTGCAAACAGCGATGCTTTTACCTCCATAACGTGAGAAGAAACCAAACTAGAAAGCACCAAGTAGCGTATGCTTGAACTCTCTCTAGCAAAATGTGCCCAACAACCAAACAGACCCAAAGCCAATGCCCTATCCTCAACATCCCCACTGTCAAACACAAGCTTAACTATCCTCAGCAGTTCTGCCTTCACATGAACCCGAGTTTTGGACAAAACTCCATCATACTCCTTCCGCTTGTTCCTCTTCCGGTACTCAAACAGAAAGGCCCTGACAATGGAGAGTCTTATATTCTTGTCTCCACAATGGAAGGCATTGGCAAGGCGAAGAATGATGGCGTTGGAGAAGAGCTTTTCCTCACCAGGAATTAGGTCGAACAGGTGGTGGACAGCAGGAGAAGCATCTGGCTCCCTGCTTAACTGTTGGAGCCTTGCACCGACTTCCGAAATGGCTTCAAGTGAGAGACCTGGTTTCTTGGAGCGCAGGGCTTTCTCTAGCTCGATGCTCCATTGCATCACACATGCTGCCGAGTTCCTTTCCATTTCAGCTAACAAAAACAAGTCATAACAAACTCATAATGTATCACACATTTAATACTCTTCTCCTCAATTTCGTCGAAAAGTAACAAACTTTGTCTACTTTCAAGCCTTGAAACTACTGCAAAATAAAGTCTTTCTCTAATCTATCACTAAACCAATTTTCCACCCAAACCAGAAACCCATTTTAAACACACAAATTGCTAAACAATTAAATTAAAGAAATTCCAAATGTAAAGGAAGAAGGGAAGAAGCATGGAGATTGGAGAGAGCTGCTTACCATCAAACAAACTATGTGGTTTCAGCCTCTGTGAATTTGAATTCAAAAACTAGTTTGCACAGAACCGAAGGAAAAAGAGGATTGGGTGAGCGACTGGGGTTGGTCGGGGAAGGGTTGGAAATTAGGGGTTCCGATGGAGGAGAGGAGGGGATTCTGGGACAGTGGGACTCGGGGCGGGAAGAGTTGAAAAGGGTAGAGGCCCTCGCTTTTGTTCTTTATTTTTCGTTGATTCGCGCAGTTTTTGTGTATTCACCGGGAAAGAGATGCTCTCCGGATTCAAAAGTATGCCCACGTATCAGCTGTTGATCTATATTGTTTTGATTAATTTTCGTAAGATATTATTTGTGTTTAATTTTAAATAAAAAAAATTAAATAAATTTTTATCACATGATACGCGATGAATGATTAAAATGTGAGAATCTTAGGATAGTATCCAATTCCCACAGGGAAAATGATGCTCTCCGAATCATTTTGTGGGGAGCCGTTCATCACAAAACAGAAAGAAAAAGAAAAACCCTAGAATTTTTGTCAGGGCATGTTTACTTCTATTTATGGCTATTGAAGTCCTGCTCTGCTTAGTCTTGATTTGAAGGATTCGTGAGCTCTAAATGCATATTAACTATAAGATTATATTAGTTTAGATTCAAAAATTTAAAATTTTTGCTAACTTAATAAAACAAAACCAACTTAAAATTTATGAAACATTATAAGACCCATTTTCTTATTTTGCTTTATTAAGTTGAATATTTCAAGTCTTTGGATCTAAATTAATATAAACTTGTGGCTAATACGCATTTGGACTTCACGTGTCCTTAAAATGAGGACCTTAGGCCATCTCTAATCGAGAAGGGCCAGAGGGCTCGTTTTAGCCTTGTGGACCTCCAACAAATTAATATTTTAATGAACAGTGCATGGTCATATTTTTTACTATCTCCAACCGAGAGCCATAAGGCTCCTTTTAGCCCTGTCACAAAAAAAACCATCTCTAACCGAGGGCCAAAGGGTCATAGGGTCAAACATAATTTATTATTTAAATTTAAAAACTACAACTTATATTTAAAAACTACAACTAAAATTTAAAAACTACACCAACTTAAATTTTAAAAATACAGCAACTTAAATTTAAAGTCCATAATCAACATCATTTTCATCATTTGCCATTGTAGGAGTATAGTTGGAGGTAAACAACTACCGCCGGGCCATAATTTCCCTTGTTTTTTTTTTAATCAAAATAGGCCTTACTCATTGGACTGTAATCCGAAGTGTTCCCTTGCATATTCCTATCATCCATCTCTTCTTATATTTCTTTGGCCCGTTCTTCATGCCTACGATTCCTTTCTTCGGCGGCAAAGACATTTTGCTTCGCCATTAATCGCAATGAAGCCGTCACTTCCTGTTGAGCGGCGTAATCATCATTTGCCTTGCCCTTTTCCTTCAACCTTTGGGCCTTGTTTTGTCCCATAGCCCTAGGTATGGAACCTTTACCCGAAGAAGGATTTTCTACCCTTAGGTATGGAACCTTCACCCGAAGAAGGATTTGCTACCCTTGTTTGTTGAACGGTAGGAGATCCATTTCATCCCCATCTACAGCTGATGATTGAGTTCCAAACACCGGCATAGGACCTACTTTATGTTGAGGTGGATCTTCAAATAACAGTCACCCTTTACAAATTTCCTAACAATCGTGAAACTGAAAGGGTTTCGAGCTGCCCTCCATATACAATTCCTCCGCTTGGCGTACCTAGAAAATATAATTACAAAAATTAAAGGAAATTAATTTATGAAATTAAATGTAATATAATTAAATATAATTACAAAAAGTAAAGGAAATTAATTTATGAAATTAAATGTAATATAATTAAATATTAAAAAAAATTGTGAATACTTCGTCGTAGTAATTGGAGCCACTTTCATGTCTACTTGCAGCTGCTAACAGTGCTTGATGCGATTTATTCAACTTGGATGAAGATGTTTCTTCCATCTTGAAGAACAACTCTCGTGGTTTCGGGTATTCGGTAGAGTGGTGTCTTCATAGAATTCATAGTATTTTTTGGACACACGAGTCCAAAACACCTTCCCTTGTTTGAGAACTCCCCCTCGCACTATCTTTTGAGACCCATCTATAAGTCTTGCAAAGAGCTTCATCTTCTTTTCGGGTCCAATCCCTACCTTTCATTGCAGATGAGGCAAGTTGAAATTATTGAAAAAATTGAAGGAAACATTATTGGAAAAGGAAAATATGAGAATTGAAATGGTGTAGGAATGGTGAAAATTATGTGAGAAATGGTGTAGGAAGGCTTAGGCATTTATAGGAAAAAATGAGAATTTTTTAAATTTTTTTAAAAAAATTTTGGCCAAAAAAAAAAAAAAAATCAAATCCAATGGGAATTGATGTCATCTAGTTGTTGCTAGCTGGTGTCATGTTGACGTCGGCTAGCCGTTGGGATTCAAAATATGGCCCTGCTCGGGGCTGGCTGCTTTAGTCTGGCCGGCCTTTTGGCCCTTTTTGTCTAGTGGGGCCAACGAGTTCTTTGGCCTGGCCCTCGGTTGGAGACGGTTTTTGAGCTATTTTTAGCCCTCTGGCCTTCTGGACCCTTCGGTTGGAGATGGCCTTAGGAGCACCACTCATGGCTATTGTAAGGATCAATGTTTTAAAAGGTGACAAGACGTTTTATGGTTAACCCATTTAGAGGAAAACTTTGAGGCGCGATGCAAGGTTTTATAAGACCTAAATTTTTAAACACATATTGTATATAAATTATGTCACATCCGTGCTCGAGGTCCATCACATCCCGGTCTCAACTCCACCGTAGCATGATATTGTCTGTTTTGGGCCCCAACCATGCCCACACGATTTTGTTTCTGGGAACTCACACGAGAACTTCCCAGTGGGCATGTCTTGATTCCGGTCGGGGTGTGTCAAATTATTTATATAATATAATACTTTGTGAAACAAATTAATCAACAATCAAACAAGCAATCAAGGCCTAATTGGGATTAGAATACTAAAAAACTTACTTGAATTTTGAAACAAATTATGGTAGTGTGGATAATTTTGAAACAAATTGAAGTATAAGATTGGGGTAAAGTTGAAATATGGGATTGGGATTGAGAATTTAAGATTTGAGGAATCAGAGAATTATGGATGGGGATTGGGTGAACTGTCAAAGGGAATATGGAAGAATCAGGTATTGGGATTGGGAAGAAGGGATACAAACATAAACTCTAGAAGTACAATGTTCTGGAATCCTAGACTTAAACTCAGCCCTGAAGAAGTTTAGGGTTTTAGGAAAATTGAAATGTCATGTCGGACCGAAAACAAAGAGTCTGGATTTTATTACAAACTTTAAAACGCTATTTTGGATGCCTAAACAACCTTGGATGTCTAAAATCTACCACATATCACAACATAATAGTGAGTTTGAATGGGATGTCGTGTTGGTCTCGAGAAGGTATTATGTGCCTAAAATGGAGCTCAGATGCCAAATTTGTAAATTCTCACGGGGTCCTTTTGTCTTTCGTTGATCCATTTCGTTTTCAATCCACTCGATCATTTGTCTACATCAATAAAGAGTATAAAGACAAAAATGTCATGAAAAGTTCATATGACTAAGCTAGTACTAATGCACAGAAGTATTGAGGATGGCATGTCTACTTATGCTTCTCAAAGTACAAATTGGTTTTCTATTGAGTAAATGACTTAAATTACGTTTAATACTTTTTTTTATTTCTTTGAATTTTTTATACAGTTTTTTTTATTTTTTTTATAAGGGTCAATAGCTTAAATGGTCCTAGAGATTTGCATAACTCATCACTTTGGTCCCTAAGATTGAAAATCAATAGAATTGGTCCTTGAAATTGTCCACCATCCATCATTTTGGTCCTTCTGTTAAAAACTCTTTAGACAATTTTCAAAGCTTCGTAACTCAATCGTTTCTTAACCAAATTCAACTCATAATATATCAAAACGAAGATAGGAAAGTGTAGGACAAGATTATACCAATTTGAAAGCCCAATGATTGCCAGAGATGGATGGAAAATAGCCTCAAAGGTGACTGGTCCTCGGGAAAACTGGAAAACTTGCCTGAAACTGGGTAAACTTTAAACGTGCATAATACTCAACTAAATCGAGTGATTCAAAAATGAAAATCATACTTGTCGATGAGACGAAGAGTATGGTATCTTTCTTGACAGCTAATTCACAGTGTTTTGGCCGGGAAACGGCTCGAAAGTGGCTAACTCGAAAATGGTTAGCCACTTTCGAGCTGTTTTCTGGCAAAAACACGGTGATTTAGCGTCGAAAAAGCTACCATTCTCTTTGTCTCGTTGAGAAGTATGATTTTCGTTTTTCAATCATAATTAAGTATCAAACTCATCGTAATATAAATCCTTATGATGCGAAAATTAACTTAACACACAAATTAACCCTCTTTTGACAATTGTAGTATATAAGTAAGTAGATATCGTTCTTAAACCGGAGATTAGGAGGGATTGCTAAACACTTTAAACTGACTCAAATAACTAAAACTAAACTTTAAAACACTTAACTCCACTTAAAAGACTCAAAACAAGCTCACAAGACTCAAAATAAGCTAAAAACACTCAAAACAGCCTAAAAACACAAATTGGGCAAATTTGACTCTAAACACAAATTTGGACGAATTTTGGTTCTAACTTGACTCAAAACACTTGAAAACACACTCTAAAACAGATTTTAACAAGTTAGACACTCTAAACTAAAGGGGGATTTGGTTTTGGACGAAAATAAAGTAAACAACACAAGACTTTAAACTAGGCAGATTTGCACGAATTTGGTGAAATTAGATGGATGATGGGCTAGCTAGGAGGTCTTTCTCCACACATGACATACTTGCATACAAAACAATCTCCAGTTGCTTTTTCAATGAATCATGAACCTCAACACCCCAAGTTAATTAGGTACGCTTAAATTAACCTTCAGATTTTCCTTAAGTCATTGAATTGAATGGAATTAGCACATTGCAATGAAATTATTCCTCAAAATTAACAATCAAAGATCATTAAATTCTATGAAAATCATAAGTGTTGACGAGGCATTCGTAACTATGAAAGCGCATGATACTTATGCCAAGAATTTACTTAATATGATTGTGACTAACAACCTTTACTACTTATGAATATAAGTGCCCAATGATTAGGTGAAGTTTCCTTATATCCTAGCATCAGATTTATGCATGCAAATTAAGTGTGCACTCTCAATCCATATACATAAACAAGTTTTAATTCAAATAGATAAGTAAATT